GCATTCCCGTAATCCCGACGCGGTAGCTGGAGCAGGGACAGGTCTTGGTGGCGCGCGGGGCGCACGGCAGCGCTCCCGGCCAGGCCCGGGTGTCCCAGCTCTGAAAACCGCAGCTCGTGGGTCAAGCACTGCTGCAAAAATGTGGCCTTGAACTTGTGAATTGAAACTCTGTGGGTCTCCCGCAGCCCTGGGAGGACTCAGCTCAGTGACAGGGAGGAATTTACGTTCGGCCGAGAAGCCGTTAGCTGAGACGGTTCGGTTTGGTTTTAGCAGCGCAAACATCGCGGGTCCTCGCTCATCAGCAGGGCCGTGCGCGCTGCTGCTGCTGTTCATCTGCTGCTGACAATTAACAGGGCGACAGGGAGGTGAATAAACACTTTAAAAGCTTCGTTTTGAAAACTTCCCCTTAATTCTTTACAAGAGCGCAACAAGTTTTGCAAGTTTCTTATATTAAAATATGTGGGTGGTGGAAAATAATCCGAGTACAAGGCAGGCTTGAAAGGCAGATCTAGAAACTGGGTAAATTTGTACATACCTGAATTAAAAAAAGGGGTCTTGTGAGTGTCAGGAAAATACAGTTCACGGAGTGCAGCGTTTCTCCGGTAAAAATAGCAAGCGATTTCTCACTGTTCTTGCCGAGCTCTGCTGTTTATTATGTCATGTAAAATGGGTGAGCTTCAGTGGAATTTTTTTTGCCTTGGAATGGAAAATCCACCGTACACAGCGGGGCTGGAGTGTGCGCAGCCTGTGAACAGAGCGCTGCTCTTGACACCCACCTCACGGCGCAGCCTCCGTCCCGCGTTGACTCGGGTCCCTTTGGATCCTGCAGCGCGGTGACACCGGCCGCGTCCTGCCCTGCGCCCTGCCGGGCTGCGCTCCGCCGGCTCCGGATAGCAAATACAAACTGTTATCGATTATTATTAATATTTAGCGTGTTTGCGAAAATGTCTTTTCCCGCTGCTATTAATCTGTTATGTTAATAACGCCAGGGCTCCTGTCCTGGGCCCTGGGGAAGCCACAGTGAGCGGAATGACAATGAGACGGTGACAACAGCCGAAAAGCGCCCGCTTGGCAGAGATGTGAATTCCAATGGCAAGGTCTCCTTTTGGCGACTTACAAACGCTTTATTCTTGTTCTGCGGTTGACGTTTGGGACTGGGGGGAATATCCAGCACCATTTGTTAGTTTTGGGAGATCTACTCTCACAGCATTTTTTATTATTATTATTAGTTTAAGTAGGTAACTTTTCTCTTAGCAGAAAAAATAGCTTGCAATAATTTTGAAAATTCTATCTTATTACATTGCCAACAAAGAAATTTTGAGGGAGAGTTTCTGTAGGTAGAAACATTAGACATTAAAGGGAAAGTATTTTATAGCAAAAACAAGCAAACCACTGAAAAGCAGTGATATATTTTCTTTATAAATGGAGACATTTTCTTTAGGCGTTCATCTCACCCTTTCCAGATTTTCTTTCTATAATGTTATTTTTATAGATTCTTCTTCAGAAATCTTTATTAACAACTGTATGTGAAATACACCATATTTTCTTGTGATGCCTCATTGGAGTTACTATTTTGTGAATAGTTTAGCCCCAGAAATCCCAAAGACAAATATTATTTTCCGATGGTTTCAGCAGTGAGATAGTTCAGCCTTTTTTTCCTCAAAATAACCCACTTTATTCTGCATCCAGATAGGCATTGAATTAATTTTTAACGCAGCAGAATTTGCAGAAGTGTCATGTTCAGTTCAAATGTAAAATCCAACACGGGGCACGGAGACGATCAGGTGGAGGGTGGTTACAGACGTCCCCTCCTCTGAGGGCTCATTCTAACCGGCTCGGATGTGGAAATATTTTTGATGCCTGGTTGAACTAGACTTTTGCTGGAAATATAATACTGGCATTTAGTGGAGAGTTATTTGGACACTTTCCCTGCTGGTTTTACTAGAGGAAAATGCGTATTAAGGAACACTTTGAAATATTGTTACAAGCTCGATTCTTCATTTCTGCCAGCAGAAATCCCTTAATAACAGAAAAAGATTTTTTTTTTAACGTAAAACCAAAGGCACTTTAAATCTGTAATACCTGTTCTTTTACAGCCAAGGTTTGCAGGGACTATTTTTAGAATTTTTTTTGAAAATGTAGCTAATTAGCTCATCTGCTCTTTTTTCATACCTCCCATATAAGTTGTTCTTTGTTTCTTTTCAGTAAAAGAACTCGAATCAGCTGTTGCTCTGAGAGGTAAAATAATTAGAATAAGGACAATACAGACAGTGAATACGGATTATGGATGTACAAATTAAACCTGGAAGGAGGTTTTACGTGTGAGAAACGCTTGTTTTGATCTCAGCCTCTTCCCTTTCCCCCGTCCTGTTTCCTTGGCTCATTCCTGCCTGTCTCGTGTCTGGATAGTTGTGCAGCTCCTACAGTCGCCCGGCGCTCGGGGTTGTCCGTGTGTTGCGGGCAGCTCCCAGGGGTGCGGGGAGGCTGCAGGGGGTCGGGGCAGCTCCCGGGTCCCCTCGGCCCTGCGGTGGCCCCGGCTCGCAGGAGGCGCCGCGCGGGGCCCGCGGCCACGGAAGAGGGCTCGGGACGGCCCCGGGGGAGGAAAGCATTGTTTCAAGCAGGATATTCCCAGGTATTTCCCTCATCTGTCGGGGAAAAGTGTTGACAGAGTTATACCGAGTTATAGCAGAAGTGTCCGTTAAGCTAAGAAGTTAAATCCAGGCTTGTTTGAGCAGTGTAATCGCTCCAGGAGCGGAGCGGGCCGCGGGCAGCCCCTTTGGCGAGGGGCTTGGTGGCCCGTCCGTGTCCGGGTGCGAGCGCCCGCCTGGCGGGACGTGGGTTCCCCAGGACACCCGTGGAAACGCGGGACGCGGCAGGACGCGGCCCGGCGCCCACCTCCCATTGTATTTCAGCTGCGGCCATCAGGTGGCAACCTGCTCTCTGGTATCGGCGGGCGCCCCGGCCCGCTGCCGGGTGCTCCTGGGTGCCCGCGTGTCCCCCTTTGCTCAAGGGCCTCTCCGGGGCCTGGGATTCCCCAGAGCCTCCCGGGAATTCGCCGGGATCTCCTGCAGCGAGCAGCAGCGTTGGAGGTTTCTACGAGTCTGTTGCATTTATACAGCCCTGACGCAGGAGCGTGCTGCTGGCCTGGCAGCAGCGTGGCCTCCAGCCCCTTACTGTGCTATAGGCGAGTGGCACGGAGCTCTTTGCCACGAGCACCCGAATTTTACACTGCCTCCCATGCTTTAGCTTGGAAAGGCGCCGTTTTGGGGGAGCAGGACCTGCCGCGGGGCCCTGGCCGGGTGCCCGTGCAGGACGGGGGCTCTGCGCTGTGTCTGTCAGCGTGCGCCGCTCGGCCCTCGCAGATAAGGAGGCATTTCCTGAGCGGGATTCTGTGGAATAAGAAAAAAAGACATTAAAAAGCAAATACAAAACCTGCCCCCCAAAACACTGCCTGTCTGATGTGTTTTTCCCTTTGCCAGCATCTCCTTTAACGTTAGATTTTCGTTCTTTCATTGCAGATGCTATAAAGAGGTGTCACCAGCAATGTGGCTTTGCCTTCGCGGGTGCACAGACCTTGTTGGTGTCATGTGTGTGTTAAACCTGCCCCTGTATCCTGTTATCCTGCAGAAACAATCCTTCAGTGGGTCTTTTTATTGAGCAGCTTTGCTCATGAGCTTGGTAGGAAATTAGAATTTGAAGTGTAAATTCAGAATAACTTAAAGTTTAATCACACCTGGTCTGACAGCCCCATGCGGGAGACTCGAGCCGTGGTGGTCAGTGGCGACCTGGTTTATTCCCTGCCACTGTTGCCCTGAGTTTTCACAGGTCGCCTTCTGCTAAACCTAGTTTTGCTTTTCAACTCAGCTGGAATTCCTGTTTCTTAAGTGCGAAAGAGGCTAATCATAGAGTAGAAAATAATTTGACTTGCTAATGCCAGGAGAGAAAACACTTGCAGCAACCACAAGTATTTGCAGGGTTGCGGGGCGCGCGGCGCTCCCGGCAGCGCGTTGGAGCGGCGGCGGATCCCGCGGGAAGCTCCGCGCGCGTCCGCGTTGCAGGAGGGGTGCGCGGGTGGTGAAAACCCTCCGCGCTCAGCGCAGTCTGACGGCAGCTCCTTGGCCTGGGAGCAGGAAAGTCTCTACTAGGCCCTGCAGACGCAGAGGAGATTCGTGTGTCCTAATCTCAAAATACCAGAATGCAAATGCTCCTTTTATTTAAAGGGAAACCACATTAACACTCCGGCACCAGGTTCTGGGGACACTCCATGTTTGAATGGTTTATGATGTCTGAAGAGCTCTGTTCACTTAAGTGTTCACTTAAGAGTTGAAGAATTGTACTTTGTATGGTAGAGATGCTAAAATCTGTGAATGACCCCATTTAGCACAAAAGACCTTGTTTAAGACTCTGAGGAGGTGAATGCAGCCCAAAGAGGTGTCTTTAGTGGTTCCTTGGAAAGGGTCTCTCTGGGGAACCGTCGTGTGGATGGTTCTGGGGGTCCTGCCTCGAGTGCTAGTGCAGACACCTCAGAAAAGCTGTTGGGAAGCCACACACGGTTGAGTCCAGGCTTGAAACCCTGCTCTGTGAGGGGGCTCTCATAGAGCTGCCCAGGGTTCACCCATCAGCACCTCCTAGCGAAGGTGAAAGCTCTTTGAATTGCTTACACCTCTGGCTGTAGAATTTTGAGTAGGAATTTGTTTGAATTTAATTTCTTCCCCTTTTCCTTCTTTACAAAATGTGTTGAACCCATTAAAACGTTACATGGTTCCAGGAAATCTTAGACGCTGCTGTATTCCTCCCTCTTTGCGTTGCTGCAGCATGAAAGCTTCAGCCTTTCTGATGACATGATAGGGCTGATATGTCTGCGTAACGTGACAGGGCTGCAGCAGTTTGTCCCGTCTTTAGATGAGTGTGAATGTCGTGCAGCTCATAGGAATATCCTCACCTCAGTTCTACTGAGCGCTGGGCTGAGGATTCTCTTTTCTGCCGCTACTTCTGTCCGTATGGCACGTAAGCCAGGCTTGAAACTGTGTCCCAAGAAAGATTAAGGGATGTTCGAGTATTTCAGTGTGTTTTGTTCTGCTGTTTCCCCTTTCAGGTGACAGCGAGGTTGTAAATAATATGTACGAGACGGACCCCGATCTCCTGGGCGGCGAAAGCGCGGAGGAGGAAACCGAGGACAGCATCATGTCCCCCATCCCCGTGGGGCCTCCGTCCCCCTTTCCCACCAGCGAGGACTTCACTCCCAAGGAGGGCTCGCCGTACGAAGCTCCCGTCTACATTCCTGATGACATTCCAATCCCTCCAGATTTTGAACTCAGAGAATCTTCGATTCCAGGGGCAGGGCTAGGGATTTGGGCCAAAAAGAAGATTGAAGTTGGGGAAAGATTTGGACCTTATATGACAGTACAGAGGAGCACGTTAAAGGAAGCTAACTTTGGATGGGAGGTAAGCACGCTGAATGGGGTTAATTGTACTCATTTGTCTTGTCTGCTGATTGCTCATTAAGCTCCACTGGGTTGGGCCTGGCCTAGGGACAGGCCTAGTGACTTTGCTAGTGCCGTGTTTCCCTGCGTTGTTCGGGATCGCAGGTTATGCTATTTAAAAAGCAACAGAAGTGCTTCAGGACGGCTCCTTGGGCTACAAATACTGCTCCAACACCCTTAGAGGAAGGTTGGTTTTAAGTGATGTTGGGTCACTTCCTAAAGCGCTTGTCATTTGCGGGTTGTGTTCAGAACTTGTCGCAGGGGAAGAAATAAGATTAATCGCATCATGTTTTGTAGTTGGGTGTGCTACCTTTGACTTCCAGCCCGTGTTAGCTGTGCAGGCCTTATTAACTGCTCATAGTAAAATAACATGTAGCCATTAACACCCTTGATGTTCCTGAGCTCTTGTTCTGCAACAAGGAGAATAAATACAAAAGTCACTTTCCCTAAACAGAAAACAATCTTCAGTAGGAAACCTGCCCAATCCCAGAACCCTTGTGGTGTTCTCCTTGCTTCCCTGGAGTTGTCCCAGAAATCTTTGTAGTCCCCTCTGCTCCTGTTTGCTTGATTTGAAGGTACCTTTCCCTGCAGGACAAGTGCAAGAGCTTTGTTTTCTCAGAAAACCAGGCCAATAAGGCCACACGTAATTTAAAGTGTGTCTTGTGCCTGATATTTACACTTCTAATTAAAAAATCTGAAAAATCCCTGAACAGCTCGATTCTGTGAAGCCCAGAGAAATACATCCAGATGTTCTTGTTTACTTTTTAATGTGTCCGAAGTGCAGGAAAAAAGCAAAAGGCACTCATTGTAAAAACAATGCTCAACCGTATTTTGTAATTTCCTCTGCAGTAGCAAATTTCTGAAGTGCTGAAGTCAGGGTTTGGTTGAATGAGTCGAGTTCCCTTCTCTCTCCAGTGGTGCTGGGAAAGAAGAAAGTCAGGGTTTGGTTGAACGAGTCAAGAGTTCCCTTTTCTCTCTCTCCAGTGGTGCTGGGAAAGAAGGGAAATTCATCTGAGTTTTGATGTTTTTCCCTCAGAACTTCTTCTTCGTCTTAGCTCTTTTGTTGTTACTGTCGTTATAGGTGGGTTATTTGATTAGTAGTTCCGTGTTATCTCCAAAATGATGTTGGAAAAGACTTTCTTTCCCTGTTAGTGGACAGGAAGCACTTTGCCTTGTTGGGATGCTATGGACCACCTGAGATTGCCTAAAATAGTGGTCAAGTTAAGATCCTTCTGAAAGCAAGCTCAGTTCTCTAGGAATATGTAGCACTGATTATTTGTAAGCTTTGGGTAATGCAGAAGGGGGTAATTTGTGTAAGATGTTTTTTTCTATTACTTAAACATAACTTTCATATATTTTTGATGCCAGTTTCTGTTCACGTTGATATTTTGATGTTCCTTATCTCCAGTGCTAACTGAATGCCAGGCCTGGAACAAAAGCTCTGACTATTGATTCCATCTACATTGACTTTGCAGCTGTTTATTTTCTGCTCTCCATGAACAAGCTCTTTATGGCGCTTCTCGTCTATCTGCGGCTTTCTTTTGTTCTCTGATTTGGCAGGAACGTTTCATATCTGAAAGGAAGGAATATTTGCCCTCCATCAAATGCCCTCAGACACTGTCTTAGACCTGCCCTGCCCCTATCTCTTGACCTTGCAGATAGGTCTCAGCTTTTCACCTCCCCCTCTGTTAAAAGGCAGCTCAGAACTAAAAAACTCAGCTTAATCACTAAAAGTCTTCCTTGTTTCACTTCTGAGCAACGTACTTGAATACTTCCATATTCCAAACAGGAATTCATGCAATAAATGCTGCCTCTGCCAGTATGTGGCTTTCTGAGTTGTTTCCTTTGAGAATAAGGTTGGAAAAGCCTTCTAAAATTCCTTACGCTGACAATTGGCAGCAAAAGGAAAAGAAAAAGTATGTGTTTTTTGTCACTCTGTGACTCGTGTTGACTAGATTGCTGCCTCCATCTGTTGTTTCTTACAACAGTGATGGATCTATCACAATGATCCAAGGATTGGGTCTGTACTTCCACACTAACAAGCCTTCCCTCCAGTTTGAGTATTTGTGAAAATACTCCTCTGTAACCTGGGGTTTTGACTTTGACTTGGTGGCTGTTTCAAGACCCCTTATTCCTGACTTGTTACCGCTGGCTAGTTGAGGTGTCCGTGCTGTGCTGGAATCGCCTCTCCTCTCTGGTGTGTTAGTATTTTTAATCTCAAGAAAGGTGGTAGCTCTGCACACACAAACTTCTATATTGATGGCCCTCATTTCATGCCCTGCAGTTCATACTCTGGAATGGAAGCCCTCTAGCTCCAGGAGGTAAAAGCAGAGTAAAAGCAACTTGTTCAAAGTTTCACTTTACCCATTATTTCCCCTAATAGCCCCAAACATCATAGGGAATGCTGAATGCCATATCTGGCCTTGAAAGAAAAGATACGTAATCTTTGTTATTACAGATGTTTGTTCCTTTCAGTCATTTAGCAGCAATGCTGTTAAGATGGGTGAACACTTAATCTATTTTATTTCTCTACTGTCTTGTTTTTTTGTTTGTTTTTTTCTCAAACATTTGCCTTCTACAATATATACATATATATTTAAAATATTCCTTAATTTAAACCTCACCTGTTATCCAGAGGCTTTTTTAAGAAGGCATGGCAGTGAATGATTCACGTGATAAAAATAAGGGAGAGGTGTTGGTCTTTCCCTTCCCACCCCGTCGCAAGGATGATTCAGCAGGTGCTGGTTGTGGGTAGTGATTTTAATCACTTTTTTGAGTAAAGAATGGTGTTTATAACAGCACTGTTTTATTTTGCTGCGGGCAGTGGGAATCCCATCCTGGAGGGAAATATCGTGACTGAATTCCAAGGACTTTGGAAGGTTTTCAGGTATATTTTAGCTCAGCTTGCTTCACAGAGTACATACCATTTATAACATATAGTTCCTTCATTTGAATTTTTATTTTAAGAGAGAATGTTTGCTGAAACACAAGAGAATTTGGGGCCTCATGGAGATGAGAGACTTGCCTTTTACATATGAAAAATCCATGCTTTCATTTAATATTTTAGGTCGAAGATGGAAACTGTCCCGTGAAAGACAAATAACTGTAGATAAATTAAGAATAAGCAGCTAAGGGTGCAGTGAGAGTTCCTGGCTTCACATCTGTGTCAGTTGAAAACTGCTGGTTTTTGAATACCGGGGATGCTTTCAGTGTCAGTGATTCATAACGGCTCAACCTCCCTGCTCCCACAAAAGAGAATATTCTGTGGTGTGTTTTGTTTTATTTTGTTTTAGAAATACTTACGCATGCCAACGAACATTTATTTCGCAGAAGTAGCTTTGATTACAGAGAATTAGACTGTATTTTCTTGGGCCTAGATACATAAAAGTAGGCAGGAGCATCTGAGCGTGGTTCCAGCTGGGCTGGCTTTGTAGGATTTCTCAGTTAGGAACATGCAGCCCTAATTCTCCCGTTTCCCTTAGGATTGGGATGCAGCTTGTTTAGAAAAAGTGAGCGGTGCTTCAGGAGGATCCGAGTGCTTTAGCTGAGCAGTCTCCAAGCCTTTGCACTCGCCTCTTTCTAATGTTCTTTTAACTTTTAGGCTGAAAGGAGGTGATGACATTTCCTCGTAGATTTTCATGTGTCTTCTGATTCATTCTTTTCTTTGGCCGCTGCCTTTCCCTTTGGCTGAGGATGATGGTGGTGTAATTGCCGTTGTTGCTCGGGGAAGGCGTTTAGGAATTGCTGTTTTCAAAACTCCCTTCCACGCTCTGCTCGTAAACTCCAGGGCTGGGAGCTGCTGAAGTTGGTGTGCATGGACATGCTCTAGGTAGAGCCTGTGTCTGGCTAAATCAGAATAAAAGAGCGGGGAAGGTGGTTGTATGCAAGCGAAATCCCGTCCTCTGCATTAAATCTGCAGGATGGGGGTTAATTAACCAGCTTGAACCGAGGATAAAAATGAAAAATAAATTTAATGGCATCCAAGTAACATGATTGAAATTTGTACCATTTTTTGGTGCTTGGTCAAATGTTTCAACATCAGGGTTAAAAGAGTGAGTCTTTTTTAGGCCCAAGAATGCTAAGATATTTTTCTCTCTCTTAGGCACTTCTCTAAAACATGGGTATATAAGGAATTAAGGGGAAAAAAAGAAGAGACAGGGAAAGGGAATGACTAAGAATACCTCCTGATATTACTCTTTTATTTCCATAAGGGGTAATAACTCATGAGGAATCCGGCAGAGGGCACTTTCTTTAAATAGAACATTCTGATTCACAAGCAGAAAAAGGAAATAAATATTTTCTTTTCGTCTTCAAGAGACATCCATGAATACCAGCTTCAGAAACAGTATTTTATCATCCACACTTAAAAAAGGGGTGGGGTGTTGGGGGAAATCCCAGGAATAGCTCACTGGCAACCACGGGATTTGAAAAATAGCTTTTTTCGTTGTCAAAAGCCTTGCGGGATACAGGACACGATTTCCTCCTCTGGAATTTTAACCTTAGAACAAGTCTAACCTTTATTTTCCTGCTGTCCCTGAGAAGTTTGGCTGTTGGAGCTTTAGAACACAGTAGGTTCTTGTAAAGGAAATGATCGATCAGTTGGAATTAAGCCATAAATATACACAGCAATTTAAAGGAGGCCTCATTCCCCGGCCTCTTGGTTGCAGTTTGGGAAGCAGAAGCCCTGCGGGGCTTTGCTGTTCTCGAGCGCCTTCTGCACGATGGTTGGTGACACGGAGGGCACGGTCCTCGTGCTGAGGTGACGTTCGTGTGGCTGCAGCGAGGCCCCACGCGCACCAGCCAAACGCTCAGGTGAGCCCCGAGGCTGCCTGTGCCTCTCTGCCGCAGGGTCACCCGCTCTTCGCTCACGTTGGCCCCGTTGGGATGGACAACTCTTCCCATAGCAAACCTGGAGCAGCAGCACCGGGTTTGGAGAGCTGCTGGGTGGAGCAGCCCTGTGGG